GGAAGGCCAAGGACCGTCCTCAGTGGCGTGTGTCCGAGCGGGCCGGCTCCAGCGCTCATCGATTTCCCAGCTGGCCCACCCTGACCATTGCGTCCGGTGGCTGTCGTAAGGGAGGTCTACTGCGGCCGGTCTCGCTGTGCCGGCGCGGGCGGCGCTCGCACCAGCCCTCATTCCAGTTGTGTCCGCCTCTCGCGCCCGCGGGCGGGCGGGCCCTGGGTATGCATGGGGGAACGCGGTGCACTCCGTCCAGGCAGGCGCGTGAGGTTCTTGTCGTCACGCCCGGCGAGTGCGTGGGAGGAATCAGGCTCGGCGGGTGAGGTGGGGGTGTACGGCCTGCCTTCGTGCTCGGGGCGGCCCGAGGAGTGGATGATCACCGCCGGTTCGGAGCTCGATGAAAGGGAGAGCGCGACTAGAGTCCCTTTGCGCCCCCTGGGCGCCGCAGGCGGGGCGCTCCGAGGGCCCACGTCGGGGGTCGCCAATGCACCGCCCGCGCGCCCCGTGATGCCGTCGCCGATCGAGCGGGGAGGAGAACTCCCTGGGGCAGCTGGCTGGGCGTGTGGAGCAGCCAGTCTGGGGCTGGCATCCCGCGCATGGGCGCGGTCCGGGAATTTGGTAGCCAGGCGGTGGCACGGTAGGCTGGTAAAACTGCGCGGAGAAGAGGCGGGGGAATGCCCCACGCCTTGATTCCAGTCCGGGTCAGGAGAGCGGGAGCGGAAGTGATGGAACTCGGCAGGGGGGTCGGCTGCCTCATGGAGTTGACCACAAGAGTTGATCCGTCCCTCACCCTTGCTGTTCTCCTGTTGGAGAAGAGGCTAATCTGCTTGCGCAGCTCTTGGGTGTCCCGCATGGGGATCTCCTGAGCAACTTGCATTCGGGACCCAGGGGTGAGCTTGTCCGAACTGACCTGTGCCAGGAAGGCAACAAGTGTTTCCACGGTGTGCCGCAGGGGGCTCGGGCCGCGCGGGGGCCACTTGTTGGAATAATGGAGCCAGCTGTCCAGCATGTTGGGGTCCGTGGATAGCACGCAGAGCTTTGCCACCGCCCAGGCGGCGGCTAGCCGTTTACCCTGCCAGTGGGTGCTCTTAGGGAGGTAGGGGGGCGGCACCCGTTTTCCGTAAACCAACTTCAGGAAGGGCCGGAGCTGAAGTGGTTCCCCGTTCCCGGGGTCATCGGGGCGTACCACGTTTTTCCCTTCTGCGATGGTGTAGTCCCGCCAACGATCGTCCATGAGCGGGTGCAGGTCACGCATCAACTCAACTATCCGTAACTCGATGGGTCTTGTGTCCCGGTCGTCAGCTCCGTCCTCTTCCTCGGCTTCCAAGAAGTTGAGGTCGGCGTTCCTCAGTCCAGGCCCTCGAGGGAGATTTGCCTCAGGCAGTAGCCGGACCACCTCGGCTGGTGGGGATACTTCTTTTTTGGTCGCGGCCGCAAGCGAAGGCGCAGGCGGCGGGTCGGTAAGTCCGGGGCGCGGTCCTTACTGCTGGTGGGGATACTTGTTTTTTTGTCGCGGCCGCAAGCGGAAGCGCAGGCGGCATCCGAAGAGGTCGGGCGGGCTACGCGCGAGCCTAATTATACAGCGACAAGCAAACAAAGGCGTGAGACCGAGCGCGCGATCAGAACCTACCGCCGGGTGGGCAGCTGGCTGAAGCTGAGCTGGGGCACCACGGGTGGGGACTGCAAGCTGCTAGGGCTGCAAGCTGCACACGTGCGAGACCCAGATGAAGCACCAGGGTGGCTCGTGGGGATACTTTTTCGGTCGCGGCCGCGAGCGAAGAGGCAGGCGGCGAAGCAAAGTCCGGGGCGCGAGCGAGGCTAATTAGCTACGACAGGCACAGGCCGGCCGGCCCACTCACAAAGCAGCCGCGAAGCTGAAGGGGAGCTGACGGCGGGGGGAATCCTGAGAGCTCGAGCACGTGCACAAGACGAAGTGTCATGGAATTCGGTGCCTGCCATGGCACGACCCACACAGTATGAGACGTGAACCAGGATAACCAAGTCCGTCGTTCTGAGTGGGGGCAAGTGGGAGGCCTGCGGAGTGAGTCGCCGGTGGGGCGCCAGGCTCCAAACGCCATGACGACGTGAGCTAGCCAGGGGGGCTGAGCTGTCGCGAACCGTAATGCAACGCAACTGGGGAAAGCTGATGGTGAGCCTGGGGTGCTGTAGCTGGCTGAACCACTCCGTGGCGATGCCAACACCCGTCAGACCACCCCACTGTGCAAAGGGGAACCAAGCGACTGTGAGCCACGCAGTGCGTGCCGGCACGGCGTCAGGCCTCTGAGTGAGGGGGGAAGACCAGCTGGCGTGGTGAGCATCGCCAGCGGGGAAGAGTAAGGGGAGCTGCACTGGGGGTAGTGCTGCCTTCTGAAGGACGCCAAACTGAACCAGGGACAAGCATATCCCCAAGTGAACAGACCTGGCTGTACCTCCCGGGGCACGTGGCTCCTGTGCGAGCAAGGCGTACCGATGCCATTGGGCGATGCGCCTGGGGGGAGCTGCGCTGTGGCAGACACGAGAGCCAACGGACGCCATGTCCTGACCCTGTCCGCCTCTTGGCACTCCCACCCAAGACTCAGGAAACGCTAACACACACCACGTGAGCCTCCAGGGTCGCAGCTAACCGCCGCTGAAAGTGATGAGGCATACCACGGACAGCGAGGGACACGGGCGGCCCTGGGAGGGGGGGACAACACCGGCGTCTGTCGGTACGCCTGGCGGGCCCCGGGGCCAAGGGCGGGAGACACCCGCCTGGCCCGAGAGGGGAGAGGCGAGGGTAAGCAACGCCCCTCCCGTCGGCCTGGCCCCGACCCCGTGGGTCAGGGGACATGGTCATTCTAGTGGGTCCTCCAGGGGTCCGCCGAAGGCCCTTGTCGCAGCGCAGAGTCCACGTGCGGCTCCCCGCCCACCGCATGTCCATTTCGGCACGCCCCTCACACGCCTCGTGGCCCCACAGCGAACTCCATGTCGACACACCCCTCACACGCTTCGCGGCCCCATAGGGAGCGAAGGCACGCCCTCCACGCACTCCGTGGCCCCATAGGTTCGCGGGGACTCCCCTGCGCCCTGCCTCCAGTGCCCGACGCCCGCTCGCTCTGCACAACGCCGTGCCCGTTGTCGGCCACCCGTGTTTTTCCCAGCCATCTTGTGGTGTGGGGTCCTCGTTTTGAAGAGACGGTGCACCGCGTTCCTTCATTCCCGCCCTCCTCCCCCTCCTCCCCTCCTCCTTCCTCCCTGCGCTTCACCCACCCAGCACAACGTTTCGTGACCCCATAGGGAGCTCCACCGAAGGCCCCAGTGCCAGGGTTCGCATGGCGGCCCCGGGCCATTTCGGCACACCCATCACGAGGATCGTGGCACCATAGGGAGCCCCACCGAAGGTCCCAGTGGCAGGGGTCGCATGGCGGCAGCGCGTTTTGGCGCACCCCTCACACAGTTCGTGGCCCCATAGGGAGCCCCACCTAAGGCCCCAGTGGCAGAGGTCGCATGGCGGCAGCGCGTTTTGGCGCACCCCTCACACAGTTCGTGGCCCCATAGGGAGCTCCACCGAAGGCCCCAGTGGCAGGGTTCGCATGGCGGCCCCGCGTGGCTCCATCGGGAGCTCCACCGAAGGCCCCAGTGGCAGGGTTCGCATGGCGGCCCCAGGCCATTTCGGCACACCCATCACGAGGACCGTGGCCCCATAGGGAGCCCCACCGAAGGCCCCAGTGGCAGGGGTCGCATGGCGGCAGCGCGTTTTGGCGCACCCCTCACACAGTTCGTGGCCCCATAGGGAGCTCCACCGAAGGCCCCAGTAGCAGGGTTTACCGAAGGCCCCAGTGGCAGGGTTCGCATGGCGGCCCCGCCCCATTTTGGCGCACCCCTCACATGGTTTGTGGCCCCATAGAGGGCTCCACCGAAGGCCCCAGTGGCCGGGTTCGCATGGCGGCCCCGGGCCATTTCGGCACACCTATCACGAGGATCGTGGCCCCATAGGGAGCTCCACCGAAGGCCCCAGTGGCAGGGTTCGCATAGCGGCCCCGCGCCATTTTAGCGCACCCCTCACGCGGTTCGTGGCCCCATAGCGGGCTCCACCGAAGGCCCCAGTGGCAGGGTTCGCATGGCGGCCCCGCCCCATTCTGGTGCACCCCTCACACGTATCGTGGTCCCATTGGGAATTGCCCTTGCTTCGTCCCACCTGCCCTGCGGTTCTCGCACTTGCGTATGGGTGGGTCCTTCGCCAAGATAATTGGCTCCGTGCCGCGGATAATCCGCGCGCGTGGCCGAGACTCCTTTGGGGCGACCGGCGCGCGTCGCGGGGACTCTGCAATGCGCGGTGCCCAGAGCCGCGGTCACCAGGGCGCAAGGACAAGGAGGGGAGAAATACGAGAGAAGGAGATGAATACAACAAAACGGCGGGGCCCCGGCCACCGCTGGCCAGGCGGGAAGGAACGCAACGCCGCACACGGGAAACAAGGAGACGAACGGAAGAGCTGGGAAGGAAGTGGGCGCAAAATGGCGGCGCACGGGGCTCGCGCCAAACATTGCACTCCCCCGAGAGCCCAACGGCTTTTCTCTCACAGCCAAAGCCGCAGTCCTTTTCCTGGCCCCCTCCTCCTTCTCACCTGCCCCGCAGTACTCGAAGCTGATTGTGGTTGGGTCCTCCACCAGGATAATTTTTCGGTGCGTCTGGGGCAAACAGTTTTCGGGACGTACCTCTGCTGGGATTTCGTGCACCTGCTTGAATGATAAGAGGAGGCCATGACAATCAAGGAAGATATCATGGCTCCCGCCATGATATCCACACACACACACATTCTTCACCCCGTGGTTTTCGGGTTACGGCTCGGTTCTCTGGCGGCGGTTCGGGACGATTCGACCACCTCTGGGGAGCTCTTGTCCAAGAGTCAGCGAACGCTTCCTCCAATAACCAACGAAAACATCCTCGCCCCCCCCCCCCTTGGACGCCACCCTCACCTCCTCCGCCAGCTCGCCCCGCCTCCTCCTCCCGCGTTGGCCGCCCTCGCCTGGAGCAGAAATCGAACCTGGCGAACGCGTCCTCCGGGCTGTCCTCCGCGAGTGGGCACGCGGTGGGGGTGGGTGGGAGGCCCCGGCGCCCGCCCTCGCGGCCGCCCCGGCCCAATGCAGCGGGGCCCGACCGCTCGGAAGAGGTATCCCAGGCACTACCACAGCCAACAGACTGAGATGAAGCCAGGACCGTGACAAAATCGTGCTGGCACAACTCGGCGAGGGGATATCTCAGAGATCCGGCGGTTCGGGACGACCTATCGGGCGCTGCGGCCGTTCCAGAGTGGTCCGGGACGCTCTGAGAGCGTTCCGGAACGCTCAGGAGCGATCTATCCTGGTCCTGGGCCCGCCTGGTACAGCCGCAAACTGTGGACACTGACCCGCCGATTGCCGACCAAAGCTAAAAGACAAGGGGCTTCTTGATTCGAGCCTGAGCCGACAGCAGACGACGAACCCAGCCGGAACAACATGGATTCGGGAGCAGGGCGTAGCTTGCGAGCGTGTGGTGCTCCGCCAAAACCGAGGACGGCGAGGGCGACCAGTGATCAGCACACTGGGGGACAGCCTCATCGATATGATGAGATCTAGCCAAGCCGCGGACGAATCAAATCTCAGGAAACATATTCGGAGGCGAGCGGTCGATACATCGACATACGTGGTCGCGCCGCCAACGAGCTACGAGCTCACGTACCCAATATCCGTCAAGACCGCAGGCACTGAGCTCCCTGAAAGCACCTCTTTCTGAAAACAAGTCTTGAGCGAGCTCACTGGAGCATTAATTGCACGAGCTCGCCGAAATTATGTTTCTGTTGCTTTCAGTGAGCTCATTGCCAAACCCAGCTCCATCGGGGCCGTCCGTAGTGATGCGATACTGGCGAGCAGGCTGGACCCACCTGCAATAGCGCGTGGTCCAGGCAGGACGAGCGAGGGGAATGGCTGGCGACGAGGCCGTGACAAGCAAGAGCGAGCATAAGTCACATCCATACGATCAGAAATCTTGCCATAAGAAAGATTGGGGCACATTCTTCGTCGATCTTTCACAGCCCTAAGGTGCCCCAGCGCTTCTGTGGGTCCCTGGGGCAATTGGGAGATAAGATATTTCTGTGGGGCACCCGCTGGCAGACCGATTCCTGCTTTGATGTGCCTGGCGTACACCATCGAACACCCACCCGCGACACATATCGAACCGGACCGATCGGATCGAAGGGTACACTGCTGTGCCCTCGCCCAGGGCCCCCCTCCCACACTTCTCGGATGGCCCCGCCTCTTGGGTCGTCGTCGTCGTCGTCGGCGGCGTCGGCGTCATCGTCGTCGGGGAGGGTGGAGCCCACGGCTGTGGCGGCGGGGGCCTGTGCCGCGGCGGGTGCGGGCGGAGACTACTTCGACGGGCGGCGGGCCCCAATTTGTCCCAACCATCCTGTGGTGTTGGGTCCACGTGTTGAAGAGACAGCGCCCCGCGTTCCCGCCGCCTTTCTCCCTCTCCTCCCTCCCATCCCTGCCTCTGCTCTTCGCATGTCATCATTATCATCATCATCCTCATCCTCATCCTCATCCTCATCCTCATCCTCATCCTCATCCTCATCCTCATCCTCATCCTCATCCTCATCCTCATCCTCATCGTCATCATCATCATCATCATCATCATCATCATCATCATCATCATCATCATCATCATCATCATCATCATCATCATCATCGCGGATATCATCGCCATCTTCTCCATCAGCTCCTCTCACACGTCCAGGCGTCGCCATCATCTCCATCAGCTGCCCGTTCCTGCCTCAGCCCTCCTAATCCAGAGCTCAGCACAGCCCTCACACGGGTTCGTGGTGCAATAGGTAGCTCCAGGCAAGGCCTCAGTGGCAAGGTTCGCATGCAGTTCCACCTTCATTTTGGCGCACCCATCACACACAATTCGCGGCCCCATAGGGAGCTTCACCCAAGGCCCCGATGGCAAGGTTTGCATGCGGTTCCACCCCCTTTGTCGGCACATCCCTCACACGGTTCCTGGCCCCATTGGGAGCTCCACCGAAGGCCCCAGCGGCAGGCCTCGCATGCGGTTCCACCACTGAATTCGGCATGTCCCTCACTCGTTCCGTGCCCCCACAGGGAGCTCCGCTGAAGGCCCCAGTGGCAAGGTTCGCTTACATACGGTTCGACCTCGATTTCGAAACACCCCTCACACGTTTCGTGATCCCATATGGCGCTCCGCCGAAGGCCCTAATGGCAGGATTCGCATGCGGGTCCATCCAAATTTCGGCACATCCCTCACAAGGTCCCTCGCCCACTCGGGAGCTCCACCGAAGGCCCCAGTGGCAGGGTTCGCATGCGGTTCCACCACTGAATTCGGCACGTCCCTCAAACGTTCCGTGCCCCCACAAGGAGCTCCGCCGAAGGCACCAATGGGAGGGTTCGCTTACGGTTCAGCCTCGATTTCGAAACACCCCTCACACGTTTCGTGATCCCATATGGCGCTCCGCCGAAGGCCCCAATGGCAGGATTCGCATGCGGGTCCATCCAAATTTCGGCACATCCCTAACACGGTTCCTGGCCCACTCGGGAGCTCCACCGAAGATGCTGGTCCACCCAAATTTCGGCACATCCCTCACACGGTTCCTGGCCCACTCGGGGAGCTCCGCCGAAGGCCCCAGTGGCAAGGTTCGCATGCGGTTCCACCCCTGAATTCGGCACGTCCCTCAAACGGTTCCTGGCCCACTCGGGAGCTCCACCGAAGGCCCCAGTGGCAAGGTTCGCATGCGGTTCCACCACTGAATTCGGCACGTCCCTCAAGCGTTCCGTGCCCCCACAGGGAGCTCCGCCGAAGGCCCCAGTGGCAGGGTTCGCTTACGGTTTGACTTCGATTTCGGTACACACACAAACACACACACACACACTCACACACAGACACACACACACACACCTCACACGCCACGTGATCCCATAGGGAGCTCCACCAAACGTCCCAATGGCAAGATTCGCATGCGGGTCCACCCACATTTCGGCACATCCCTCACACGGTTCCTGGCCCACTCGGGAGCTCCACCGAAGGCTCCAACGGCAAGGTTCGCATGCGGTTCCACCACTGAATTCGGCACGTCACTCACACGTTCCGTGCCCCCACAGGGAGCTCCGCCGAAGGCCCCAGTGGCAGGGTTCGCTTGCGGTTCGACCTCGATTGCGGCACACACACACACACACACACCTCACGCTTCGTGATCCCATAGGGAGCTCCACCGAAGGCCCCGATGGCAAGGTTCGCATGCGGTTCCACCACCATTTCGGCACATCCCTCACACGGTTCCTGGCCCCGAAGGCCCCAGTGCCAGTGGCAAGGTTCGCATGCGGTTCCCCCTCCATGTCTGCACACTGCTCACACGTTTCGTGCCTCCACAGGGAGCTCCGCGGAAGGCCCCAGTGGCAAGGTTCGCTGACATACGATTCGACATTGGTTTCAGTCCACCATTCACACGCTCCGTGGCCAGATAGTGAGCTCCACCGAAGGCCCCAATGGTTCCACCCCAATTTCGGCACACCCCTCACACGTCTGTGACCCTCACACGGGTTCGTGGTGCCATAGGTAGCTCCGAGCAAGGCCTAAGTGGCAAGGTTCGCATGCAGTTCCACCGAAATTTTGGCGCACCCCTCTCACACAGTTCGCGGCCCCATAGGGAGCTTCACCCAAGGCCCCAGCGGCAGAGCTCGCATGCGGCTCCACCACTGAATTCGGCACGTTTCGTGCCCCCACAGGGAGCTCCGCCGAAGGCCCCAGTGGCAAGGTTCGCTTACGGTTCGACATCGATTTCGAAACACCCCTCACACGTTTCGTGATCCCATATGGCGCTCCGCCGAAGGCCCCAATGACAGGATTCGCATGCGGGTCCATCCAAATTTCGGCACATCCCTCACACGGTTCCTGGCCCACTCGGGAGCTCCACCGAAGGCCCCAGTGGCAGGGTTCGCATGCGGTTCCACCCCTGAATTCGGCACGTCCCTCACACGATCCGTGCCCCCAGGCTTCTCGGATGTTCGCTGCAGGTTTGAAGCCTCCACGGGGGCGTTGTGGAGCTTGTCGGACCTCTCTTAAGCATCGTTGGGGCCTCTTTGGAGCCTCTTGGAGCCACTTGGGGGCCTCTTGGGGCCTCCTGGGGGTCCCTGCGGGCGGGAAGCTCGAAAGGTCGGTTCGCGCTCCCTCTCTTGAGCCCATGTTGGAGCCGTCTTCAGGTCCTCTTCAGGCCCTCTTGGGCCGTCTTGGGGGCCTCTTGGGCCGATCATGCGGCCCTCTTGGGCTGCTTTGGGGGCCTCTTGGGGGCCTCTTGGGGGCCTCTTGGGGCGACGTTGGAGGCTTCTTGGGCAGTCTTGGAGTGTCGGCCGCTCGAAAACGTGAGAAGCAACAAATATCGGAAGCACACACTGAAAATCAATGATTTTGGCGTCTTGGGGCTCTCTTGGAGGTCCTCGCGGAGCGACCTTGGGGCATCTTGGGGGCCTCTTGGGCCGATCATGGGGCCATCTTGGGCGGCTTGGAGCGCTCTTGGGCCGTCTTGGCGGCTTCTTGCCGTCTCCAGCAGCCTAGGTGGACGCCTCGGGGAAGCGGAAAAAGTTCCGGGACTGCGAAAACGGGCCCCTGGATCCTAAAAAAGGCCCCCGCAGCCCAGGGGGCAAATTCGGTTACGGGGGGGGGGGAGTTTGGGAAAAGTGTGCGACCCGGGGCCGCGGGGCCCCGGACGCCGCTTATATTATAAATGACGTAACTCGGGGGAATATCCCAAAACTGGCGGGTCTGGAGGATGCGACGGGCCGCGGCCGTCTCAGAGCGCTCCTGAACGCTCTAAGAGCTTTCCGGAAAGCTCTGGAGCGAGGCCTGCCAGTCTCTCTCTCTCTCTCTCTCTTCCTCTCTCTCTCTCTCTCTTCCTCTCTCTCTCTCTTTCTCTCTCTCTCTCTCTCTGTCTCTCTCTCTCTCTCTCTCTCTCTTTTTCTCTCCCAACATTGAACACTCTTCCTGCCAACGCGAGAGCCCTGTGGCACGACGACTAGGACGCGGAGGCGGGCGGCGAGCAGAGAGGGCGGGTTGGCGGAGGCGTCGCTGCACCTCCCGGCAGGGAGGTGGCCCCCGGCGCCCCGTTTGCTCAGACTTCGTGCTTTTCTCTCTTTCCAGCACGTCGCAGCGGGCTGCTCCCTCCAAGAACTGCGAGACGTGCGGGAATCATGAGCTGCGGGTGGCGGGATCGGCGCCAGACGTGCCTACAGGCCGCGGCAATGCAAAGGAGCAATGGCTCGAGCGAGTACGTGACATCAAAAACGCAACATCACACTCTCAAGGAAGCCGCACTTCTGACATCTCGGCATCAACTGGAAATGACAGCGTACTTCCCGAGCAGCTGCGAACGCGGCATGGATCCAGTCGGTGAAGCGGATGCAGCGCGCCCGCGCGAATTTGTTGGCGCGCACAAAGGAGTTGCGCGAGGGGGATGGCTTTCTGAGAGGGCAGGGGCCAACGTAGGAGTGCCCAGAAACTCCTAAGAAGCCTTCTTGGAAGCCCGCAGGTGCAGGGGAAGAAAAAGGGGCCCACGCGCGAGGCCGTCGCGACGCGAGGGAAGGCCGCAACCCCGGTGCACGACAAATATTGGCGTACAAACCTTGACAAGCCGGGAGGCTAAGAGCAGGCAGTCGAGCTGCTACCGCGAGGAGCGCTGCACAGGGACGGAGGCCCCTGTGTCTGGCCCCAGGAACGCCTGGTTGGACAAGGAGCGCTTGAAGAAGAGCCATAGAAGGACGCACAAAGAACAACGAGCCCCTAGCGAGCCCCCTCCGAACCCAAAGCGTCTCTACTCCCAACTCCCAGGCAGCAAAGTGTCACAGCTTTCTCGAGACAAAGGCCTCCGACCTCCCGACCACTTCCGCGGGCCCCGCTGCTCATCCCGAATCGTTTCTCGACGGCCCCGGGGCCCGGAAGCGGCCTCTGGAGGCCGAAAAGAGAGGACCAAAACGACCGCCTCGGTTTCTCTGAGAGGCCGAAAATAAAGGACAAAACGACCGCATGCCAGGGAGGATCACAACAAAACACGCGGCGCGACGGCGGCGGCCGCCGCCGCCAGCTGGCCACGGTCCTCCGGGAAAGCCTGCAGCCAGGGCTCCAGGGGCTCGCGCGTCCCTCGGGGGGGCCGGTCTCTCGGGGCGCGAGCGGGGAGGGGAGGGGGCGGGCAAAGGTAGACGGGGAGGGAGGGAGGGAGGGAGAGAGCCCGGACAGTCTCGCGCCGTGCAAAACATCACGACGGGAGGTTTTCGGCTATGTTCGGCCTCGGGGGGCCCTTGCCCCGGCCCGGCCCCAAGACTGTCAAAGAATCCCCCGGGAAGTCTTGGAAAGCCAGGCTTGTGGCAAAAATCACGACGTCGGATGCCTAGGGGGGGTGGAGGAGAAGTCGGATTCGACTCGAGCCAGGAGCGCGCCCTGACTCCATCGGCAGATTGGCTGGGAGCAGTCAAGACAGGTGGCAGAGGAGGGTGGGGAGGAGGTGCCGCTATATCGAGGTGGTGACCCCGACAGGACAGAGCCCGAGACGCGATCCGACAGGAGAAGGGAGGTAGGGAGGAGGAGGATGAGGAGGAGGAGGAGGAGGAGGAGGAGGAGGAGGGAGGAGGAGGAGGAGGGAGGAGGAGGAGGAGGAGGAGGAGAGGAGGGAGGAGGAGGGAGGGGGAGGAGGAGGAGGAGGAGGAGGAGGAGGAGGAGGAGGAGGAGGAGGAGGAGGAGGAGGAGGAGGAGGAGGAGGAGGAGGAGGAGGAGGAGGGGAGGAGGAGGAGGAGGAGGAGGAGGAGGAGGAGGAAGATAGAGGACAGGGGAGGAAGGGAGAGGTAGGGGCGGCAGAAGGGGGGAAGAGAAGAAGGGCGAAGGGGCCGCCACGGGCGGCAACGTGGCGGAACCCATCTCACTCTATACGCGAAAGCTGCATGCAAACCCTTGAGTGCAAGAATTCTTAAAGGAAGCGTTCCTGAAATTCCGCAAAGATTTCCTGGACCGGCGCAGGACCCCCGTGGCGGTGCCTCCCGGGTGACCCCTGGCGCGCTCCGCGCACCCAGGGAGGGGGCGCAGCGCAGATCCAAGAGATCCGCGTGGACCTCCGAACACGTGTGGCTTATGCTGTTTTTGTTTTTCGGATGGTTCGGGTTTCGTGGCTACTAACAAACGGCTCGGAATGGCAAACGAAGGCAGGGATGGGTTCGAGAGATCCGGGGCCCACGTTTCGAAGACATCGGAACGTCAGATGTCAGGGCACCGCATGCAACTCACTTAATGTATTCCTCATATCCAGAGGATGGGGGTCTTGATATTACTCCGCCCGCGCCAACTCCTCACTCACCTTCCTCCTCTTCCTCCTCCTCCTCATCCTCCTCCTCCTCATCCTCCTCCTCCTCCTCAGGGTCACGCTCAGGGTTGCTACTCAGGTTATGGTGATGATGCTGTCTGTGGTGATGCTGTGAGCAGGATGGTGGTGTTGTGGATGATGAGGATGACTACAATGACGATGGCAACAGCGGTGATGATGACGATGTGATGGTGGGGATGGGGATCATGGTGATGACTATGGCGGAGCATATTGAGAGGATGTCTCGAGCGAGGCGCTGGAGATGATGGTGATGATGAGGGTGGTGATCATGATGGTGGTGATGACGATGCCGATGACGATGACGATGACGATGGCGATGACGATGACGATGACGATGACGATGATGATGATGATGATGATGATGATGATGATGAGGATGATGATGATGATAATGATGATGGAGCAGTTTTTGAGGATGTGGATTGGTCGAGCGGTTTGCCTGTTTGCGTGCCCAACATCCTCCGCTTTCGGTGCAGATGTTGAGGATGTCTCGGGCGAGGCGCTGGCTTTCGCACCCCAGGGGGGGGGCCAGAGTGCGAGGATATCTCACGCGGTTTGCCTGTTTTGGTAGCCAGATTCGTCTGCGTTCAGAGCAGATTCTGTGGATGTCCCGGGCGAAGCGCTCGCTTGAGCACACCCATAGGGGAGCCGTCAGGGGTTATCTCACTGCTCCGTTCGCGCCCAGATCGCGGGGATGTCTCGAACGGTTTGCTTGCCTACGCCCCCTTATCACCCTCAGCTTTCGGAGCAGATTTTGAGGACGTCTCGGGCGAGGAGCTGGTTTTCGCACAACAGGGGGCTCAGATTGCGAGGGTCTTTCGAGCGGTTCGCCTGTTTTGGTGGCAGCATTCGTCTGCGTTCAGAACGAATTCTGAGGATGCCTCGGGCGAGGAGTTGGTGTTCGCACCCTTGGTGGTTCATGTTGCGAGGATGTCTCGATGGTGATGATGCTGATGCTGATGCTGATGCTGATGATGATGATGATGATGATGATGATGATAATGATGATGATCACCATCGGTATCATCATGACCATGGAGATCATCATGGATATGACGATGATAGCAACGACGATGACGGCGACGACGGTGATGATGATGATGCTGATGATGATGATGATGATGATGACGGTGATACTGATACTGATACTGGTACTGATGATGATGGTGACGATGACGGGGCGGAGGATGAGGCGGCGGAAGATGAAGAGGAGGCGGAGGTGGAGGAGGATAATGAGGTATACAGGGGATGAACCGAAAGGCCACAACATTAACAATTCACAACGCATCCTTTGTGTTTTACGTCAGGTTTCGGGGCCGGACGGTCATTCACTGTCCCTGGGTGCGTGGCTGAAGGGGGATTCCGCGATGCGGATTCTCGTTGTTGTTGTTGCTGCTGCTACTGCTGTTCCTGTTGCTGTTGCTGCTGCTGTTGCTGTTGTTGTTTGTTTGTTATTGTTTGGCGTCTTCCCCCCCGCGACCCACCCCGCGACCCACCCGCGACCCACCCGCGACCCACCCCGCGACCCACCCCGCGACCCACCCCGCGACCCACCCCGCGACCCACCCCACGACCCACCCGCGACCCACCCGCGACCCACCCCGCGACCCGTCCCGCGACCCGTCCCGCGACCTTCCCGCGACCCACCTTGCGACCCACCCACATTAGAAAGCGGCGCCTGCGTCGGGCTCACTGCATACGTTGTAAAAATTAAGCACCTGCGGCAGACTTCTTCAGAGCCTCGCAGACTGCCGACGTCCTCGCCGCCCCCATCACCCTTTTCCGCAGCTGTGGGGTGCTACGTAAATTACTCAGGACGGAGGTGGTGGAGGACGGGGCAAAGAGGAGGAGGCTGAAGCTTCCGACCGGGCCCCTCGGGTGGCGGGGGCCAGAAGATCGAGGCTCGAGGCTTGAGGCTGTCGCGCCGAACACGAAAACCCCAATTGTGATGATGATGATGATGATGATGATGATGATGATGATGATGATGGTGAAGATGATGATGATGATGATGATGATGATGATGATGATGATGATGATGATGATGATGATGGTGAAGAGGATGATGCGGAGGATGATGACGGTGATGACGACGAGGATGATGATGATTAACCCCTAACTGCGGATAATAACCCCTAAGGGATAATAAAGTTCTGGTTTTCGGGGGGATAATAAAGGTTGCCCGCCAGAGCCAGCATAAAGAGATACCAAGAGGAAAAAGCCAAAAATATCTTGAGGATTGTCTCGGTTGAGACATCCTCAACGAATTGCTTGTTTCGCTTGAGACACCCTCGAAATATTTGTCTGTTTCGCTTGAGACATCTTCAAATGATTGCTTATTTCGCTTGAGACATCCTTGAGGGAGGAGGAGGAGAAAGAGCAAGAGGAGGAGAGGAGAAGGAGATAGCAAACATCCAAAGTTTAAAACTTATTAAATTTAATGTGTAAGCGCTTGATGCAAATTAAATTTGCATCTGCTTGTGTAGGGTAGCTCACGTGCCTCATTTTCCCAGGATCATCATCCCCAGCGATAAACAAGTTCAGGGCGCCAGGGGGAGCAGGAGGAGAACGAGATAGAGAGACAGAGAGAGAGAGAGAGAGACAAAGAAAGAAAGAAAGAGAGACAGAAAGAACTACAAAGAGACAGAAGGACATCGGTTTCGCTTGAGACATCCTTGAGGGAGGAGGAGGAGAAAGAGCAAGAGGAGGAGAGGAGAAGGAGATAGCAAAAATCCAAAGTTTAAAACTTATTAAATTTAATGTGTAAACGCTTGATGAAAATTAAAATTTTCATCTGCTTGTGTAGGGTAGCTCACGTGCCTCATTTTCCCAGGATGATCAACCCCAGCGATAAACAAGTTCAGGGCGCCAGAGGGAGGAGGAGGAGAAAGAGATAGAGAGACAGAGAAAGAGAGAGAGAGAGAGAGACAGATAAAGAAAGAGAGACAGAAAGAACTACAAAGAGACAGAAGGACATTGGTTTCGCTTGAGACATCCTGAAACAACGTGTTCGCTTCGCTTGATGTTGTTATCTCAACATAAGAAGGAAGTAACCTCGATGGCGAACTTTTCCCGTGATAATGAAGTTCGGCCTCCGCGCCCCCGCGCCCCCGACCAAACTCTTATTGGTCGACGACAAAAAACTAACGACTTAAGGGGGGGGTGCATTATTATCCTGGGCATGGGGTTACTCACACGCTCGACGAATATTACGAGGATGAAAATGATGCGCTGGTTTTCGTACCCTAGATGGGGGTCAGATTGCGAGGATGTCTCGAGCGGTTTGCCTGTTTTGGAAGCCAGGTTCGTCTGCGTTTTGAATAGATTCCGAAGATGTCTCGGGCGAGGCGCTGGTTCCAGCGCGCCCAGAGGCGAGCCGCCAGGTCGACGACTTCAGGCACGCCCCAACGTGGCAAGAGCTCATGGACCACTTGGACAACGAAATCAAGGCTGCGGAACAGGAGATTGCTCGCGACATGTTACGCACGCCTCTGATGGAGGCCGCTTTCATCTGGGAGGCGTCGTCCGTGGCGCACAGCGTGAAGCGCGTGGGCCTCATGCTTTCGCACGCCCACTACCTGACGACGACGACGGCCTAGCGATGGCAAACGATGCGCGGCGCAGTGACCATCGACTGCGCGCCCCAGGAGCCCCAGGAGCAACGCGGCGCTGACGACGACGCATAGTGGCTGAACCTCGATGTGATGTTCTCCCGCGCCATCCGAGTGGCGGACATGCTGCTGGCGCGGCCGCCCCCCTCGCCGGCTGC